ATCTACGTTCAGTTACTGAGGAATTTCTTTTCGATAAGCGGGATCGCGCCAATTAAGGCATCAATTTGGCTGAATTGCCACGGAATGCATCGTTTGGTTCAGTCCACATGGATCTATGAAATCACATCCCATTCGAGAGTAGTTTGCATTTTTACGGCCCCTGGATTTGATTTTTCGATGAACTTAAGCCCGACTTGCTACTCGCCTTATCAATGGTAATGTAGTCGATTGCTCCTGTTGAAGACACCAGCACGATGAGCACCAGTGTTGACTGGTTTTCCACATAAATACATGTTTGTCGTGTGATGCAACGGGCCTAGAGTCGTGTGGCCGCTTAAGACACATGTGCACAGTTCGAATCCCTCTAGAGCTCTGGTGGTACCGATGCGAAGTCGAAACTCCATTCCGGCCCAAAGAAGAACTGACTTTTGGAAATGAAAGCGAAGTGGCACTCGAAGCAAAGCTCAAGCATATGAGATGTATTCATTCTATTTGGTTTAGGAGGATAAAGAGACTTGTAGTTGAATTTTCCCGCAAGGATATGAGTAGAAATGACGCTTCCATTGAATTTCGCATAGCTCTGCGTTCCCAAAAATTATTCCTATCCAGAATAAATTGCAGTTTTAACCTCGCCTGGGTCTTATCAATACCTCAAGAGGGACTCGAACCATGACACTGCATCCTTTGATCTCGAAACTTTCCAATATCACGTTCTGGGGTGAGATTAGCGATAAAGCAAAGTTGTATTTGCTATGGCAATCGACTACGTTACCTATTTTTCGTTTATAAATAGGCCTTTTAGACTACCAGTAGATCATATATATGAGATGTATTCATCCTATTTCGTTTATAATGATAAGGGTATGAATATATCTCATATATGTGATCTACTGATAATCTTGAAAGCCTACTTATAAACGACAAATATGTAACATAGTCGATTGCTATGGCAAATATAATTTTGCCTTATCAAAAATCCCACAACTGAATGTTATATGACGAAATTCCTGTCCTTCCCTGAACATCACACCTTCCCTTTGACTCCAAGGCACTCGTGCCATTGTGAAGGAGCAGTTATTGTGAAGAGATCACACGCTGCAGTGTGATGGTTCGAGTCCCGCTGGAGGTGTCAATCTTGGATGAGAATAACTTTTTGGAAAGCAGCACTATGCGAAATTCAATGGAAATATCAAATCTACTCATTTCATTGTGGGAAAATTCAACTACCAGTCTCTCTATCACTCTAAATGAAATAGAATGAATTCATCTCAAATATATGATCTACTGGTAGTCTAGAAAGCCTACTTTTAATTTTTAAAAACTCATGCAATTTCTTCAGTTAATTGTGGTTAAAGTTGTCATTCGAATCTGGTTTAATTTGCTGATACGTTCTGTGTCCGTGCTGCCTTTGAAATGCGATCGGTTGAGGTGGCAGAGATCGCGTGTCCGGCTGATTCTTATTCGTCTTGACTTGACCTTACTTTCTACGGAAAGTGTGTGAGGAATCATTTCGGAAGCCGATTTAACCAAAAGCCGAGGATGGGTTCTTCTTGGTCTCCTGTTGTTCAGTTCTACTAATATAAGATTTATTTTCATCCTAGGTTGTATAAGGCAATGAAGGGCTTGGACGTTCAGGTTGATACAATCCTTGAAACAGCCTCTGTCGGTTCTGGTGAGAACGTGGCAACTTTTTGATGTCGGAGGTGGATGGGAGGGATTCTCAAGTTGTCCTCACTTGAAGCTGCAGGGGGAATGCCTTGAAGACGTGACTGTAGATTTGTGTGAATAGGTCCTCGGCTCACCACCCTGCGACCCCAATGAATCCTTATTGAGCTTTAGTCCGTCATGTGACGGACATCGTCAGAGCAGGACACCATGCTTAACGATAATTCACCAAAATATGAGAAAGAAATGACAATTACTCCAAATTAAATCTAATAAACGAGTCTTCAAAATCCAGTTCTCTACGTGCCAACTTTTTGTTTGCCATGCCAGCCCACACACATCACATGAGAGAAGGGTTGTATTATTGTAACAATCTCAAGATATGAACGAGTCGCGAGCCCTTATTTACTGGTATTTCCCTACCATATATATACTCATCGAACTGGTGAGCTAACGATATCATGTATGTGTATGTGTGTGTGTGTGTGTGAGAGAGAGAGAGAGAGAGAAATAGAGTGAGTTTTTGTATGTTTGTATTTTTGTATGTGTGGCCAAACGAAAAAAAAGCGTTGGATCAGAGCAGAACAAACGTCTATGTCTCGACGACAATTACTTTTCCAGTCCTGGCAACTTGTTAGGCTAAGAAAGGGCACCGATGATGCAGTATGTTTTCTAAATGCATGACGATTGATGAAAAAGATATAATTTCGATGTACAACTGTCTCCTGTTTGTTTAACCTCGTAGCCTGGCAAAATCCGTCAATTTGCTGAAATGTAGTCTCGAATCTGTTCCTACGGCTTTTTCTTGGACTTTCTGTCCGAATGATCCAAGTGATGACAGTACTCTTTGGTGGTCTGAAGGTCCTTCCAGAGACTGCAGAACAGTGAACTTAGCCTCCTTGGCGTGAAGACATTATCTCCTTGCCTTATGCAGCCACGCAATATCCTCTTTTCATGTCAAGTGACATTTAAGGGCGAAGCCTCACTGTGGTCACTCGTCCGCAAATATGACTTCAACTTTGTGCTTATGCCTCGTCTCATTCACGCAATAGGATATCCTCTTCTTGGCAGTTCCGATTCGCATTAAATGATCCCTTTAAAGGGTGAGAGTACTCCGCGATCGAAGAAATTCGGCGGACAATCTCACGGTTGGGCGTCACTTTGATTTATTCTCCCTATCGCAACTTCACTGGCCAATTCCCACTGATTTTCTACTTTTCGTAGGCCTTAATTCCTTGACAGTCAAGAGTTTGGGCTATTTTGACGCAGGAGAAAGACACCGCACTTCGAAGCATCCATTTGGGAGAATTGCCACGGAATGCATCGTTTGGTTCAGTCCACATGGATTTATGAAATCACATCCCATTCGAGAGTAATTTGCATTTTTACGGCCCCCTGGATTGGATTTTTCCATGAACTAGTCAATCTTTAGAATATATGCAAAGTCTTGCTAAGGTTGACACATACACTGTTTGCCAGTTCGGCAAATAAGTAGAAGAATTTTTACAATTTACTTAAGTATGTGTCTCGTATGTCGGGTAAATCAGCCTATTCACGTTTCCGCCATACAGCCCATATTTATGTGATACGCTCATTTGTGTGCGATCAAGCTCAGCTCCACCATTTCCCCATCAAGCCATTCAAACTTCTGCCAACATATTCACATCTCTTTACCGAACGTCCCATTTGGATGGACGAATATCCCGTACTGTTTAGGCCCACTGATTGATTTGTATATCAGTGTGTTTGTGTATTTGCTAAGTTGTCGATAAATATTGGCCCAACTGTATATATGTCAACAAGTTTAGCAACCTCTATTTGACATGAAATGCTCACCCTCATACAACCATTTATTCCTTTTTTAGAGGACCAATCAATCTGAATTCTAATTACTCGCCTATCAATTCATCCGTCAGCTTTTCTCTGTCTCCATGCCTCCAGGCACGAGCCCCGTATGTGTGTACACTCATGGCTCGCCCACTATGAGGGGGGGCACCCTTACAAATGACGCATTTTTGGCACCCCGTCCACTCGGAGTAAAGCCAACATGGGGCCTGAGTATTCTAAAAGATGGGTGGTGGTGGAAGGAAGTCCTTCGCCTCGGAGAAGCAACTGATGCGGATGAGCGACAAGGCAGCCAGGTTTGTTGAAGTGGGTCACGATGTCAATGATCTTCGATCAAACCGTACCATGCCGACACCAAATGAGCGTCCCATAAGTGAACACCTGTCGTCACCAGGACTAGCTACGGGCACCATCCCTAGGTTGCTTAATATGATTTGGTGAATGTTGGTTGAATTTTTGTCGTTCCAAAATTAGTGATACTCTTCAGATCTACTCACATCTAAATAAGTAATGTGGTTTATTGAAACAGAAAATGTGTGTCTACACCACTAGAAGAATGTGACCTGTTGACACCCGTGGCTGTATAGCGGATTGGGAGCATCACGAGGACGCCGAACCTGAACGAGGCTACAAGGCCGGGCGAATTTCATTGGCTTAGTGAGGTCTACTGATGTTACTTAGCCGATATGCGATGAAAAGTTTGGTCTCGAGGAGTGGCTTAGTTCATAAATGTTGACCTCACTCAGATTTCGAGTGAAGGTGAAAATATTGAAAGGCCGCTCCCCACAGAAATAGACGGCGGAGTCCTCTTGATCAGCTGTCGATCAGATTTACCGAAACACCATTGTTGACACGGTTTCTGAGGCAATCGCCTTCGATACCGGTTAAAACATGCTAAGTTTTTGTCCGTCGTCTGACGGACATCATCATCATCATCATCATCATCATCATCATCATCATCATCATCATCATCATCATC